CCACCACACCTGTACCAGTGTCCACCACAGCTGTACCTGTGTGCACCACACCTGTACCAGTGTCCACCACACCCGTATCTGTGTCCACCACACCTCTGCCTGTGCGCACCACACCTGTACCTGTGTCCACCATGTCCATACCTGTGTCCACCATGCCCGTACGTGTGTCCAGCACACCTGTGCCTGTGTGCACAACACCTGTACCAGTGTCCACCACACCTGTACCAGTGTCCACCACAGCTGTACCTGTGTGCACCACACCTGTACCAGTGTCCACCATACCTGTACCAGTGTCCACCACACCTGTACCAGTGTCCACCACACCTGTGCCTGTGTCCAGCACCCCGGTACCTCTGTACAACACACCTGTGCCTGTGTGCACAACACCTATACTCGTGTCCACCATGCCCATACCTGTGTCCACCACACCTATACTCATGTCCACCACACCTGTATCTGGGCCCACCATGTCCGTACCTGTGTCCAGCACACCTGTACCTGTTTCCACCACCCCTGTACCTGTGTCCACCGTGTCCGTACGTGTGTCCACCATGTCCGTACGTGTGTCCACAATGTCTGTATGTGTGTCCACCATGTCCGTACCTGTGTCCAGCACACCTGTACCTGTGTCCACCATGTCCGTACGTGTGTCCACAATGTCTGTATGTGTGTCCACCATGTCCGTACCTGTGTCCAGCACACCTGTACCTGTGTCCAGCACACCTGTACCTGTGTCCACCATGTCCGTATGTGTGTCCACCCTGTCCGTACCTGTGTCCAGCACACCTGTACCTGTGTCCAGCACCCCTGTACCTGTGTCCAACATTCAATGTCTTCCACACATTCTCAACTGGGAGCACTGGGAACATCCCAGTTCCCGGTCACAGTCCCCCATGACCACCGGCCATCAGCACTTTGGCGACTGATTTTGTCCCTTTGGCCACTGATTTTTGTCCCTTTGGCCACTGATTTTGTTCCTTTGGCCACTGATTTTGTTCCTTTGGCCACCCTTTTGTCCCTCCAGCCCCGTGCCCCTACCTGTGCCCACCCCCGCTGCGCCCTTCAGCGCACTGAACTGGGAGCACTGGGAATCCCTCTGTGTGTCCCACCAGTCACAGCCCCTTGACCTCCAGCCATCAGCACTTTGGCCACTGATTTTGTCCCTTTGGCCACCCTTTTGTCCCTCTGCCCCCGCGCCTGTACCTGTGCCCACCTGTGCCTGTGTGTCCCCCGTTCCCTCCTGTCACACACGACCCGAGCGTGTTGGTGTCACCCCTCCCCACCTGTGACACAGGTGGTGACAGACCCCCCCGAGTGTCACACACCCACCCAAAATCAGCGAGTTCCATTTTTCTGGGTTTTGCTCTTTTTGCTGTGTTACTGAGGCGATGTTACGGCTCACCGGGGCTGACCCCAAATTTATGTCACCCCACGCTGGTTTTGCGGGTCCCCCACCTCGTGAGGGGCTTCTGGGGGTGATCCCCCACCTTGGGGAGGTCCCGTGGGTGGATTTTGGGGACATCACCCCGGGCGTGGGGGGCGTGAACCCCAAAGCAGAGGCAGCGCCCCTTCCCCACCTCCCCCTGCCCGGAGCCCGGGGGGCTCCAGCCCCGCCGGGAGCGATGGGAGGGGAGCTCCGGGGGGGACACGGGGCCGCGGCAGACTGATGCACTTGATGTAGTGGTGTGAAATAAACTGTATTTTTCTTTTTTCTTTTCCTTTCCCCTTTTTTGTGGGGGGGTCCTTCCTCCCGCTCGGCCCTGCTCCGCGGCCGGCGCAGCGGCGGGAGCGGGAATCGAACCCGCGGGCCTAGGCAGGCGCCGCACACAGCCCAGCGCCGCCCGCCGCCGCGGCCACGCCCCCCAGCCAATCCCCGAGCGGCCTGCCAGGCGCGCAGCTCTCTATTGGTTACTTTTGCTGGCCGTCACGCGGCAACGCCAGGTCCCATTGGCTGATCGGGGCCGAGGGGCGGGGCCACAGCCCAGCGGCGGGGGTGGGGCCTCCGCCTCCATCTTGGCGGAGCGGCGCGTTTGGGGTCCCGGCCCGGAGCGGGCGGGCCCGGACTGGATCGGGGGTCCCGGACTGGACTGGGGTCCCGGCCCGGAGCGGGCGGGCCCGGACTGGATCGGGGGTCCCGGACTGGACTGGGGTCCCGGACTGGAGTGGGGGTCTCGGACTGGATTGGGGGTCCCGCCTGGATTGGGGGTCCCGGACTGGAGTGGGGGTCCCAGCCTGGACTGGGGGGTCCCGGCTCGAATTTGGGGTCCTGGCCTGGATTGGGGCGATCCCCGCGGGCAGCCCTTGGAGGGCAGTGCAGGATTTTGGGGTCCCCTTGGGTGCAGCCTTTGGAGGGGACTGTAGGATTTTGGGGTCCCAGTTGGGTGCAGCCCTTGCAGGAGAGTGCAGGAATTTGGGGTCCCCTTGGGTGCAGCCCTTGCAGGGGAGTGCAGGATTTTGGGGTCCTTTGGGTGCAGCCTTTGGAGGGGACTGTAGGATTTTGGGGTCCCCCTTTGTAGGATTTTGGGGTCCCCATTTGTAGGATTTTGGGGTCCCCCTTGGGTGCAGCCCTTGCAGGAGAGTGCAGGAATTTGGGGTCCCTTTGGGTGCAGCTCTTGGAGGGCAGTGCAGGATTTTGGGGTCCCCTTGGGTGCAGCCCTTGGAGGGGACTGTAGGATTTTGGGGTTCCCCGGTGCAGCCCTTGGAGGGCAGTGCAGGATTTTGGGGTTCCCCGGTGCAGCCCTCGGGGTCGGTCTGTAGAACTCGGGGCCCCCCGGCGGTGCTGCCTCTCAGGGGTTTTGGGGTTTGGGGGTCCCCCCAAGTGTTCCCTTTGAGGCGCTCCAAGGGCGGGGTGCAGCCTCGGGGGTGTCGCTGGGTTTTGGGGTTCATTTGCCTGTGGTAGTGGGGTTTGGGGGTACCCAGGTTGGTCACTGCAACAGAGGGTCCTCAAGAGGTTTGGGGGGCTCTGGTACCCCCAGAAATCAGGGAGGGGTGTTGGGGTGCCCCGGGGAGACCCTGGGTTGGGGGTGACTGAGGAGCCCTATTTTTGGGGTGACACTGAAGATATTGGCCCATCGGTTTGGGGGTGACCCCAGGGCCCCCTGGTTTTGGGGTGACCCCTGCAAGCCCCTTTTTGGGGTGACCCCAAGGACCCGCGTGTTTGGGGGTGCCCCAAACCCCCGCCTCTGCCGTGTTCCCAAGACACCCCCACCTCTGAGTAGCTCCAGACCCCCCATTTTTGGGGTGTCCCAAACACCCCCTGTTTTTGGAGTGACCACGACGGCCCCCTTTTCTGCGGGGTGACCCTGAGGACCCCCCGTGTCTGGGGGTGAGCCGGCAGCCGTTTTTGGGGTGCCGGGGCCATGGCGTGGGCGCTGAAGCTGCCGCTGGCGGACGAGGTGATCGAGTCGGGGCTGGTGCAGGATTTCGACGCCAGCCTCTCGGGCATCGGGCAGGAGCTGGGCGCCGGCGCCTACAGCATGAGGTACCGGGCACCCCGAAATGACAGGGCACCCCAAAACCGACGGGGCACCCCAAAACCGACGGGGCACCCCTGAACATCCCGGGGAAGGCAGGGGCCGTGCAGGGAGCGGGGAGCCCCAAAATGAGCTGGAGGTTGAAGGCGTCGGGCAGCACCTCAGCACCGGTACCCAAAGCAGGAAGGGACCCCGGAATCACCAGAGGCACCCCAAAATCTCTGTGGATCACCAGAACCCCCAAGGGAAACCCCAAAATCGCCAGGAGTCCCCAGAATCTCCAAGGGAAACCCCAAAGTCCCCAGGGGTCCCCAGAATCCTGCGGGTTCTCCAGGATCTTCATTAAGGGATCTCAAATCCCTGGTGGCGACTCCAGAATCTCAGGGGGGTCCCAAAATCTCTGGGGATCCCTGGAATCTCGGGGGGTCCCAAAATCTCCAGGGGTCCCTGGAATCTCGGGGGGTCCCAAAATCTCCGGGGGTCCCTGGAATCTCGGGGGGTCCCAAAATCTCTGGGGATCCCTGGAATCTCGGGGGGTCCCAAAATCTCCAGGGGTCCCCAGAATCTCTGGGGAGATCCCAAAATCTCCAGGGGTCCCTGGAATCTCGGGGGGTCCCAAAATCTCCAGGGGTCCCCTGGAATCTCTGGGGAGATCCCAAAATCTCCAGGGGTCCCCAGAATCTCTGGGGAGATCCCAAAATCTCCAGGGGTCCCTGGAATCTCAGGGGGGGTCCCAAAATCTCTGGGGGTCCCTGGAATCTCGGGGGTCCCAAAATCTCCAGGGGTCCCTGGAATCTCGGGGGTGTCCCAAAATCTCCAAGGGTCCCTGGAATCTCGGGGGTGTCCCAAAATCTCCAGGGGTCCCTGGAATCTCACGGGGGTCCCAAAATCTCTGGGGGTCCCCAGAATGGCAGGGGGTGCCAGGGGCACGGGGAACCCTGAGCTGTGCCAAAGTTGGGGCATCAAGGGGGAAGTGGGGGCATTGGGGGGAATTGGGATTGGGATGGAGTTGGGATGGAGTTGGGATGGAGTTGGGATGGAATAGTGATGGAGTAGGGATGGAGTTGGGATGGAGTTGGGATGGAGTTGGGAAGGAGCTGGGATAGAGTAGGAATGGAGTTGGGATGGAGTTGGGATGGAGTTGGGATGGAG